AATAACTTCTCTCTTCCTTTGTAATAGAATGTTTAACGATACACATTACTACCCTATATATAGATTATATTTCTCAGACTCCTTAGCAGCTAGATATGACCATGCGACTAAGTTCTGACCAATTAGATGTAAATAAGTGTGATGTGGCAGATTCCAGCAATCTTCCTTAAGAGACAAGTACATGCCTTTTACCTCGTCTTCCTCTTTCCTCTATCCTTCTGCTTGGAATATGTGGTTGGAGGTCCACTTCGAAATCAGAGCATGAAGGCTAGGGATGTTGCAACAGAAAGTTGGTAACAGCCTGGCTCCCTGAAGGCTTCATAAAATGGAGATACTATGCTAGCCTTAGAGCATCTACCTCTAGATTTTTATATGAGAGAAAAATTAACTTCCATATTGTTTAAGCCATTGTTAATTTGGGTTTTCTGTCACTCTCAGCCAAATCTAATTCAAATGAATCAATGACTTATACACCATTACCCTGATTCAGAAAATATACACCCTTCTCTGTCCATTAACTTCCAGTTCATATTTCAGGGATAGATTTAAGATTCTGTATCATCTGTTCTCTGGCCACTCTAATTTATAGCTTACAAAAACTCCCAAAGGTGTAGTTCCTTAAGTATAGCTCCTTGAGTACAGGTCCTCATGATCTGAAGACCTATGAAATAGAGGCGAGTTATATGCCTCATATACACCCAATAGGTAATAGTGGTATGTATAGAACAACCAGTATAGACATTTGTTCAAAAAGGGCAGAAATGCAGGCACAAATGAATCACTAGTCCATAACATTCTGAAATCCAGCTAAGCAAATGTTGGAAATGATTAGGATTCAAGACCTGGGGATAATCATCCATGGCTCTTGGCCCTCTGAGTCATCCTTCCTTGTATGAAAGACATCCCATATTTGCAATTGCATAGTTTTCACAGATTGCATCCTACTAGTAGAATTTTGGGGGTCAGAGATGCCTTTTCATCTTGTATTGCCTCTGACCTTTTCAGTCCAAGCAGGCAGTATTCCTCTGAACACTCTCTTAAAAACAATATAGGTCTCTTGTGAACTTCTTGGGGTTCAGTCCATTTGACAAAAGGTATCCTCACAAAGTTCTTCAAGCTAAGCCTTTCTCTGTCTTGTGCTTCTGCTAGGGAACAATGCCCTTAAGAGTCTTAGAACTATATTGTTTGATTGAGAAGATCCATGAGTCACTTCCCTAACTCTTTAGAGGACTTTTAATCTAACAGTACTCTGAGGTGCCACCTTAGATCTTAACAAAGGATTTACAACTACTTCCTTAACTTCATTTTTAGACTATTTTTCTGGCATTGCCTTGGATTTAATCTTTGCTTGGAAGCCATTTCTTAATTTTAGCATCATCTGCCACCTGGAGAGGCTAGGAATTTTCAAAACCAGCAAGTTCTGGCTTCCTTCTGTTTAACAGTCCATCCTTAAGCTTCTCTCTCTCCTTTCACGTTTTACTACAAGTGTCAGGGAGACGAGGTCATCCCTTCCACACTCTACTTAGAAATCTCCCTAGCTAGACCACTCAATTCATCAGGTACATTTTCTACTTTTCATCTTACTGCAGGCAATAGTGTTGCCAAATTTCTGCCAATACATAATAAGGACCACTTTCTTCCAGTGTCCAAGAGGATTTTTGTGATTTTCCTTTAAGCCCTCTCTTGAGGCTTCCTCACAAGCCATTAGGACTCTACTCTTTTCTGAAAGGCTCAGTTTTTACTAACACTTACTTCAAAGTCCTTCATCCTTCCAGCTTTTGCCCACTGCCCAGTTCCAAAGTCACATGTTTAGGTTTTTGTTATGGCAGCATTTTTAGGTACCACAATTTATATGTTATCTATTGCTGCATAACAAATTACCCACACAACATAATGGCTTAAAAACAACAAACAATGATTACTTCATAAGGTTTCTGAGGGTCAGGAATCTAGAAGCAGCTTAGCTGGTTGGTTCTGGCTTGAGGTCTCTCATGAGGTTTCAGTCAAGCTGTTAGCTAGGGCTGCAGTCAGCTGAAGGCTTGTCTGGGGATGGAAGATACAATCCAAGATGGCTTACTCATATGGTTATTGGCAGAAAATCTCAGTTCATCTCCACATGGCTGTCTGAGTATCTTTAGGCAGCTGGCTTTTCCTAGAACAACTGATCCAAGACACAGAAAGAACGAGCAGGAAGCTGCTCTCTCTTTTAACAACAAGACTCTGAAATCACACGCTATTATTTCTGCTTTATTCTATTCTTTAGAAGCTAGTCACTAAATCCAACTCACATTCAGGATCAACTGCTTGAAGAAAGCACGGTCAAAGAACATGTAGGCATTTAAAAACCTCCACAACTATCCATGCTCTTCTCTTTGTTCTCCAGTTTCAACCAGAAGAGTGATCTTTTCCTATCCAGGGGCTGTTTCTCTATTTGATATTTCTTCCCCAAATTTATAGAAATTCAGCCACTATTAATTATTCCTCCTATATATTCAATATCTCCTTCTCACCTTTATGCTTTCCCTCAGCATTTAAACATTTTTAAGTCTTTTACACATATTCCTTTGTAGCTAATAACCTCTCTCTTTACCGATAGTAGTTTGAAAACAGAATCCAAAATTCTCTGACATTCTTCCCATTAAGAGATGGCAGCTATGTTCCCTTCTACTTGAATCTCGATAGGCATGTGATTACCTTTAACAATGGAATATGGCAAGTGAGGCAATGCGACTTCTGTAGATGGGTCTAAAAAATCATGCAGCTCCTTCCTAGTTCTCTTGGAATACCCTCTCTTGGTATGTTTTCTCTTGGGGACACTCCCTCTCAGAACCCAAAAACCATGCTGCAAGAAGGCCAAGCCACATGGAGAAGCCATGTGTAGGTGTTCCAGGTGACAGTCACAGCTTTAAAGTGATCCCAGCCTTGAAGCCAGAGCTGTTTGAGTGAAGAAATCTCCAGATGATTTTAGTTTCCAGCAGTCAAGTCCCCTCCAGTCACTGAGTCTTTCCGGCTGAGACTCTAGACACTATGGAACAGAGATAAGCCATCCCTGCTGTGACTTGTCAAATTCTTGACCCATGGAATCCAGGAGCATAATAAAAGTTTTACGCCACTAAGTTTGGGTTGGTTTGTTACACAGCAATAGTAACTGAAACATCCCCTTTACAACTCTGAAAAGAGTTGTCTATTTTCATGAAATCTCTCTTTCTTCATCCCCCACTTATTCCTCTAACCTAAATTTTGCTCCCTTCTTTCAAGCTTAATAATGTTCTCTGAACTCAATGATCTCCAAGTTGCCAAATCTCATGACATTTTCTCAGACTGTTAAGAGAAGTACTCAACCCTATTGTCTGAATCCTCGTTCTTGAATTATTTTCTCTCTTCTTGTTTTTATAACACCGCACTATCCCAGATCTCTTTGTCTCTAGTTACTTCTCAGTCTCATTTGCAATTTCACCTTCCTCTATCCAGCCACTAGATAATGAAGTTGCTTAAGCTTGGTTATAAGCCTTCTTCTCCTCTTACTTTATGTTCTCTCTCTCTACCCATATCCATGGCTTTAATTCCTATCTATACTGACATTGATGACAACCTTTTGTCTCAATTTTATCTATTAAGTTCTAGGCCTTATGTCTAGATGCCTTTTTAACATTTTGTACTAGTCGAGGTTCTTTGTTGCACAGAGACTGGCCTTGGCTGATTTAAGCAAAAATGAACGTATTAAAAGTTCATAGAATCAAAGGAAGAGCAGAGCACAGGGGTCAGAGCCTACGCTGAACAGGCAGAAACAATAGCCAAGTCATACCACAGAACTGGCATGGTCGGGACACCAACACTGCTTTCGGTAAACAGAGACATGGCAACTGGTACCACTGATAGCATCAGCATCGGACGCTGCATGCTGCCACTAACAGCACTGCCACTATGGCACCTGGAGGTAATATCTTGTTGGAACCATCACCACTGCCAGAAAAGATTGAAGTTCCTGCTTTTTGGTGTCATAGCTCCCTCCTCGAAGACCCTGGTGGGTGCATCTGATTATCATAGTGTAGGCCATGACCATGGTCCTAACTGCAAAAGATTCTGGGAAAGCAAGTCACTGGCATTTCCAGATTCTAGAGCAGAAAACAGACTCTACTTCCCAGCAATTGATCATAATGTAAGGAATTCTCTAAATGTGTAAGTGAGTTTCAGAAGCTAGGACAGGAATGCAAGGGAAAAAACTTGCATTACTTCCTCCTTGCAAGGAAGAGTTTATCACCGATCTGATGTGCTTTCTTGAGGAACAAATCTGTAGAATTCTTTCATGTTTTAATTAACAAAGGCTAAAATAAAATATTTTCCTAAAACAACGCCCAGGTCTTTTTGGGAGAATTCTCAATGGGGATACTAGCAGAGTAGCTTGAGGACATCCAACATTCCTAATATCTAGTGATTTTCAAACATGTTTCCATTTACCTGTTCAGAATGTTAGGAAATGCAAATAGCAGAACACCTCTAGAGTAATACAGAAGTGACATTAAGAGACAATTGTGAATATTTTGTATTCTTGCAGTATGATCTTCAAAATGCATAATTGCTGATGACATCAAAGGAATAAACTGTCCAATATGACCAAGTATGACACAGAGAGGAATCTATCAAAAAACTAAATGTAAATTTTGAGGGTTTTCCCCCCAGTTTTACTAACACAGCACTTCTTGGTACCTGATCCCAGAATAAGGAACTGAAAACTAAGTTAGTTTACAGCATTAATGTTTATGTAGCAACAGTAAAAATCCAATGATTTAAGATTTTAGCAAATATGTAATGTTTGTACTCCAAATATTAGGGACATAAATATATCAGAAAAAAAGCTTGATGTATAATCAATTTTTGTATTCGAAAACACAAACCCTGACTTTTTTTTTTTTTTTTACTAGTTTTCTATTTTTTCTGAACCTAACTAAGAATTATTTTCTCTTATCTCAGTTTCTCTGGTTTTCCTCTTCAAATAAAATGCTTGTGACCTGTAGAGGTTTAGAAAAGGTTGTCGCCAACTAAAATAAGTGCTTCAATAAAGGTACAAATTCTGTGGAAATCTTTTAACATTTGATGTTGCTAAACTTAAGTACAATAATGTCACATGTACTTATACAGTAATTGTGGGCACGCCTAAGTCCCTCCCTCTTTCCTAAACCAAATTCCCTAGATCCTAGAAATCCAGCCCTTCTGCCCTCCGGAGGCGCCTTTCCCAACGTAAAGTACAATTTTAAATTTCAGCTCCTGACTAAATAATGATTCCGTAGCCAACTGCTAGGGAATCGGGGCACCCCAGTACCTCTGGAGGGTGCAGCGGGGTGTAGGCAAGGGCAGGGGGAGTGGGCGAAGCTGCTGGTTGGTGCCTGAAATCTGTGCATTGCCCCTTTAATTGTGTCCCCAGCCCTCGGGCGTTTCTGTCCAACGCCCACGTCAGCAAATACCTTTTGTTTCTCTCACGTTGGGGCTACTTGTTTTAGGGCGCAAAGGAACGGCTTCGAGAGGGGGCATTTCCCCTGCGGAGGACCAGGAATCTTCCCCGAGCCCGTGCGCACGACTCGCCGGTGCGCCGCGGCCCGCGGTAAGAGGCTGCGGGCGGCGCGGGCGG